AAGCGGACCGATTAAGTCGATTCCCCATCTTGCAAATGGTCATGGACTGTATACCGACTTAAAAGATTCTGGAAATTGATTAACATCTGGGGTGAATATTTGACATTTTGTGCATTTGCGAGGCCAATTTGTTGCATCCATCTTCAGATTTGGCCAATAATATCCATGTCGAAGTATTTTATACGCTAATGCTCGCGCACCATTGTGATTTCCACAGATTCCTTCATGAACTTCTTCGAGGACATATCTCGACTCCTGCTCGGTTAAACATTCCAGCAGGGGGACAGAGTATCCTCTTTTATAAAGGATTTCATTATCCAGTGTAAATCGAGCTGCTCGGATTCGAAGAGATCGAGCCTTTTGTCGTTCTGGACCGAGTTTACGTCGTTTCTGAACCACCGGTTTAATAGTCGGATCCAGATTAAGTCGCTGTGAAGCCACATTAGGGTCAATTCCTTTCATGTCTTCGTGTTTCCAGGCGAATACATCTGAATTTGCCTTGAGAAACTGGATAAGTTGAGTTCGTATTGGTTCCTCAAGATTGGCCCCAATCCGAAGTGACTTATTGCGAACAGGATCATCAATAAAAATTGTTTCAATTTCTTCTGATGGTTCAGCTCGGTTGAGTTTGTCTTTCTCTTTGAATTGAGTCATGGGATCAAGTTCGTCTTCTTCATGAATCTGCTCTTTTCCTGGACGTCTTCCATGATCTTGAGTTATGCCATCTTGATATACGTCTTTTGAGATTTGTGACTTTTTGGATGGTTCAATTTTCATCTCGGTAGTGACAAGTTCCGAGTTCTTAAGCGTTGGGAATTTTTCTCGTTCTTCCTGAGCTTTTTCTACCATATGTATTGGAGAAGGTGGTTCATGCCAGGGCTTAACCCATACCATTCCACGAGCTTCATATTGATCTCCGTAATGGGTTCCTTCTCCGTTGTTTGTGGGAAATTTCAAAGCATAATGAAATATCGAAACAGTTGCACGAAGTTTGTATAAAGCTGTTCTTCCCACGATGGCATTATATTCGTTTTTAAGATCCATCACCTTGAACGTCTCCATGATAACTTTGGAGGCCTGCCCAGGAATCCCAAACCGAATTGGCATGGTTATTTCTCCAAGAGTCGGTGTGATTGTTCCGTTAAAACCTTGTACTTGATCTTTGCAGGGTTTTAACTCGGCTAGATCAATCCCCATTTGTTCAAAGGTTCGGAGCATTAGAATACTTGAATATGCTCCTGTATCAACCATTATCCGATGTACTGGTATTCCACAAATTGGTGTTGTGATCACGAGAGGATCAGAGTGTGGGTGAGCGAAATAGCTAGCATCATCCACATTGAAGGTAATCGGACAATTATTCCGAGCATTGATTCTATCTCGGAGGTCGGTTGCTATGACAGTTTTACCCGAGTTATAAGCTTTTCGGGCATAAGCCTTCATTTGTCGACGTGATTCAAAGGATTTTCCGCTGCTGTTATTAACTCGGGGAATACTATTAAAACCAAGGGGATTAGAATAACCACTGCTTTGAATCATTTTGGTTTTAACTGAAGGCGAAGAATCATTCTCCTCCGAGTTCAACATATATACTTCTTTTTCACTTTGTCTAATACGCTTCGGATTAATAGGACGATCATCGTCTTCGTCATCACCTGGGGGTTCTGGCATTCTGCCCTTTCGCTTATAATCAGCATTCTTGGAGAATCTTTGGACTTGTGGGTGTCCAATAAGCCGCAGTAAGGAAGAGAGTAGGCCCAGACATTCATCAGTATCATGCCCCGCCGACTTGTGATACGAACAGTATTTCGTTTTATCAAGTTTTTCTTCCGGAGTTCTCACAGGTCGAGGGTCAGGAAGGATCCTTTTTCTTTTTAATTCTTTAAATATAGTTGCGGCCCCAGCTGAGAAGACCGTCTGATTGCTGGATTTGACCTCGTTAAGATATTTAGCTCTAGCTTCTTGCACCTCGGGATTTTTAGAATTCCCGAATCGAGATCGGTTTGGTTTGAAGAACTTGTTCTTCTTCTTTTTCGATTCTAGTTCTGCTCCCGACTTATTAGGAGAAAAGTCGAAAGTAGGAACCGACATCGATTCTTCAGCTATAATGTGCTGCTGAGCTCGAGCCAAAAAATCTTGAAACGAAGTTGGTTTATTCTGATAAATACTCCATCGAAACAAGGAATTTGGCTTTAATCCAGCTATGGCCGTGACCAACAACGTTTCGGGATGACATTGCTCCATATTTTGTACTCGTTCATTAAACCGAGTAATATAGTCTTTAACGCTCTCGTTGTCCTTTTGTACGATATTGGCAATAGACTCCTTCGGGATTAAAGATACCCCAGCCCCGATGAAATGAGATCGAAAAGCCATTCTCAATTGTTGTCACTTTGATATTGAACATCGGGGTAAAGAGTGGTACCATTTTTTAGCACGAGGTCCCAAAGTTAGAGAAAACATCCGACATCTGAGTGCGTCGGTTGCCCCATGAAGATCCATCCACGAGGTGTATTGACCGAGATGTGCGTCTGGATCCGAGGTACCATCATAAAGGCCACTCTGAGGAACTTTGACTTTGGAGGGGAGTGGTTCCATTGTCAAATGAGGAGCCAAGGGAGTCTCGACTTCTGGATAGACATTCTCTGAGATAGGAACCCTTTGTTGAGATTCCTCAGGAATATCTTGCCGAGTTTCTAACTCAGCAATCCTCTTCCTTAACATTTCCAACTCTTCTGACTCACGCCTCAAACGATTCCTTTCGATAATATGACGTAATTCATTGTTCTCACGTCGGAACCGATTTCGTTCAATTGTGTGACGTAAATCAGACTGTTGTTTGTGTTGTGAAGTTACCGGTGACGGAGACACCGGTTGCTGTTGACGACTCCCAGAATGACTTTCAGCAGTAATTTCTGGTCGAACTCCCTCCAGGGGACGATCGTCGACAGGAATTACACCACGATTGTGAGCGGCAATATTTCGTTGCGACTCAGGTGTTCGTGGTTGAGAAGTTGCATGAGACGCAGGAGGAATATTATTTTGTTGAACAGGCGACGTTCGTTGCCTAGTTGGAAGATTTGAAGCATGAGCTTGACTAGGAACCGTCACAGTTGGTCCTGCTCTTGTTTGCGCCATAAAATCAGATAGATTTCTAAGAAACTCTGGATCTTGGAATATAACAGAGTAGTCTATCGTCATAGAAGGCACAGTTGTGTTGTTAGTTGTATGAACAGGATGACGACTGGTTCCAGCATCTGGATTTCGTTCTTGTCGCCCAGAATTTGATATAGTGATAATACGTGTATGAAAGTACTATGTACACACGTATATAATAGATCGAAAAAGTTGGCGGAGGTTCAAGCCCTTCCTCTAGCGCCAAACTGTCGTTGTATGAAATTAACAACTCAAAATTATAAACAGCTGGGTGTGTTTAAACAAAGATAAATATAAAATTGGATTTCATTGATATGTTCACAAGAGTACAGGAAGTCGGTTTTTTATTCTTAACCGAGATCATCTCAAGTTCGTGTACAATGTGTATCCAAAAGATCCGAAAAAAAAAGCCCATGTTCAACTATAAATTCTGCTATTTATAGTACGGTCGCTTTTGTCTTTTTGTCTGAGGTAGATAAGATTGCATTTAATGTTGAGCAGCTTCAATTAAACGGTGTGTAGTGGAATGAGGAAACATCAATGATTGTTTTTTGTTTTGATGGTCCAATCGGATGTGTACAGCTCCTCTTGCTTGAAAATTCGATCTCCTCGGATGTCGGATGAATGGATAATATTTTGAAGATCATATTCATACTGTCTGTGAAGTCGGTTATCGGCTTCTGATAAGTTGTCAGTTGTCGGTTTTACTTTGTCGATCATCTGGACTTCGGTTTGACCGTCAAGAAATCGGTAATTAATTAATATGGTACCGACTTGAGCTAAGTTAAGCTATTTCTGCGGGACCATTGATCGAATGAGGCGATTAGTCTTTAGCTCTAATCTTATGTAACCAAGTCGGTCATCAACAGTGTTGACTCCCTCCCATTTAATTTTTATTGTTTATACACTCTTTAAATTGTGAGAAATAAATAATTTTATTTTGGAAAATGGTATATTTAATTAAATATCAAAATTCACTTTTCGACACTTACCTACTTTTCAAGAGACTTATCAGAAATAGGAATTTGGTTTTAATACGTACTAATCCACTTGGGTGATTGGATTTGGCATGATTTCACAGTAGCCGTGTCTCTCGATAAAAGTTGTTCAAAATCAACTCCAAGCAAACCATTGGTTTGAGGCTATTGTGACACGTCTTTGCGTCCGTATTATATCTCATCAACCAATCCCGTCAATTGTAATGATAGTGAATCCTTATTACTAACCAACTTATTATTAACCAAACAGAATGATTATGATAAATCCATGTGCTATATTAGATAAATATTGTTCTATTTGTTTATCTCATCAACCAATCTCATCAGTGGTAATGACAGTAATTTCTTATTAGAAACCAAACACAACAAATTTATATTTAGTACTGTCATAGCGATTGTCTACTACTAATATATTAAGTTCAGTCGGTTTTGCTATAAAACCAACAGTTGGCTCCATAGTGGAGTCAACCTTTTATATACAACAAATAAACCTACCATATTCTCTTATTCTTTAAATAACACTAATTTATTAATATGGTAGGTTTATTTGTTATATATAGAAAGTTGGCTCCATAGTTTCATAGCAAAACCGTAAGTTCAGTCTCATTTCTTTGAAATAACAAACACGCCCTTAAATCAGGAGTATTAGTGCAACTATCTGAACATGATGTGAACTATGGTTGATATTGATATATAATATGATATCCAGGTAAATCACATCCGCCACACACACAAGCAGGTATTTTGTTTTGGGTGATGTGCTATACTTTCTCGTCTATCTCGATGTAAAATACCGATTCGAAAACTTGGTGACTGATGAAAGATAGGGATATATCCAACTACGCCTTGTTGCCTGTAAAGAGCATGCCACAAGTTGCTAATTCAGGAATAATTGTACTACATTGCTCAAGAAATATTGCAATTCAGTCGATCAAGACAATTTTACCCATTTAGTAGTTGTTTTTGTTTTGTGATTACAAAATCACATAGATTTGTCAAAGTTCTAAAATGTCATCACATGTATTCCTCTATGAGATTCTTGAATGTTGGGTTACAGCCCACCTACTCTTTTGAAGTAATCACCAGCAATCCCAAAGCACCAATCAGGATATACTGCAATTTAGAAAGCCAAAAAACTTACAGTGACTTGATGACGCACAAAAAATAAAAGGGGAGATAATAATGTCAAGAATGTTGTTAACCAGACCTTGATAATAGGCTTTTCAGTCATGATTATAGTCACCCACCCTACATACGGCAAGAATCTGCAACAAATAAGCACATAAGAGCTGGATTCACACTCATAATATCTTAGAACAAAGATAACTCATTCACAATTGACAGAAAAACAGAAAAAGAGATGAATCCAATCAGAAAACACTCGGAAGACAAATCCACTCCCAACAATGCCTTTAGAGCTTTTAATGATATGATCATAATCTGATCTAGCTATCAGTGATTTTTACGACTGTTTGTATATAATATAAACAAGAAATAACGATAGGAATTTGAACAGTGAATTATTGTGGCAAACTTAAAGACTATATTAACAGCGATCTTCCCTTATTCAAGAAAATGAAATTGAAACAAGGTGCCCTTCTTTTTATTCTAATATTCGAATGAGTATGTACAGTTTGAGTAAACCTCGAGATGGCTGGTCACCTCTACCCACAAGCCTAAATCAAAATAAAATAAAATGAAATATAACATATATACGTGGACCCAAATACAAGATTGATATTCTGCTTTTTTGTTGGGTGGTTTGTTGGGTGGCCAAGATGTTAGGCATGCAAGCTCGACGCAAGGGAATCTCATTTCAAAAAGGACATTTGAACATTGAGTATAATCATGACTGGACGGTTTATGATCTTTTCAAGTGGAAGACAAAGAACCTATAGAATCCCATAGAAACTATTACTAGTTGATACTATTATAAAATGGAGTTACTTTATTAAAAATTGCACGGACTTTGAGTTTGATTTAATGGTAAAATTATAATAATAAAATATTTCAATAAAATAAGATTAACACAATCCAAGTAAATAAGGATTCTTCTCACGCATGGGTTCTTTTTCATCATAAAAGACAATATAATACTATACTAAACTATTTGGCTATTTTTAGAAGACAGTAAATAAATTACTAAGGAGAACAAAAAAAAATTAAAAACTCACGAAAAGAAAACTCACGACACCATATGAATAGGAAAAACATGTGTTGTGTCCAAAAAATTATGACTAAAAAGTAAATATAAAAAATAAAAAATTATAATTGTTTTACAATTAGTGCTTATATTCATCAATTTCTTCCATTGCTAAAATTTAAAATAGTTGGGAAAATAATAAATTATTAGCAAATACTAATCTCCATGAACATAATAAACATAGTTCTTTTAAAATTAGTTTTTTCATTCATTATTATATTTATATTTCATTTATAATACTTAACATATGTAGACAAACTAAAAATACAAATAGAAAAATAATAATGATTCAAGTTGGATTAAATTTTGAATTGGTAAATTATATGTGAATTTAATTCCCAATAGTAACTTTTACTTAACTACAACAAAAACTTATTTTAGTTGTACCCGCTATTGGAAAGTCGAGTGCAGAAACGAACAAAAATAAAAAATTACAAAACGAAGTCATAATGGTGAAAATACAAAATAAAGGATATGCGATTGATTTATATCTATCTATGCTATTACAAAATGAGGAATAATTTTCTAAAAAGTTAAACGAGCTAAAAAATCTTCATGTTTGGTGTAACTTTCTACGACAAATTGTAGTCATGCCTTCAAAATCTCGAAATATCATGATCTATTGGATTCTAATTTTACTCTGCAAATTAATCATAATACTTTTCAGTACATGTATATAAAGGGTATATGCACATGAAACAATTGATTACTAATACTATCCATGAAAGGGAAAAAAGAAGAAAAAATATTCACTCTTATAAGTGTCAGATTTTAAACACATCACTTTCTATTCATACTAAAGAAAGGAAGAAAAAGAACGAAAAAGTATTCACACTTATTTACTAGATCAGAGACATTAGTGATTAGATAATGTGTTAATTTGGATTTGAAAAAAAAAAAAATACAAAAAGAGTACATATCTACCATCAATTTGGTAATAGCATATATTATCTGATAATGTTATAATCTAAATTGAACTAATATTAATAATATTATATCATTGAATGATAATAATATAATTGTTAAATATATTGACAATAATTAAAATATGAATAACTATATAATATTAGATAATATAAAATACTGTAAAAATAATGTACCTAGCACTTTTCAATTAATGTATCTTTTACACACACACACACACACTACTCTGTTTTACTGAAATTATGATACAACAAATGAATGATTCTTCATGCAACTAGCTATTAAATATTGTTAACTATATCTTCTATTATAAAATGAGGAGCACTATTATTTCATAAAGAATTGTAGTAACAGTCTTATGTTAAGTAATTATTTAATGGAATAGTATAACAATTAAGTTATCCTAATAAAATATAATTAAAACATAATATTAGTGAATGAAATGATTTAACTAGGATTATGAATTATTTGTTAACCATTACAAACGAAGTCATATTATTTAAGGGATAAATATTTTTTTGTAATTATGTTTTTAAGATATCCATTGTGTTATGTATATCTTAAACAATTAAACTATAATTATGATTAAATATCCAAACAAAAAAGAGTTATAACTATAATTTATTGCAAATTTGTATGTTACAAACCCATCCGACACACACACACACACACAAATATATATTAGCATAATTTTTACAAACTCATCGATATGATGTGATTTTTATTAATGTATTGCATCTACTATGTTGGGTATGCAACTAACATATATAAAGCAAATATGCACTTATAAAAATTTATGACATTTTTTATTATTCCCAAGATTTAATTACTGGTTAGAAGTCAAATAAAGAAAATCTTTTATTATCCCCCTTGTAAAATATGAAAGTTCATTTCTTTTGATTTTTTCGTGACATAATCTTATTCCAGCTTAAAAATTAAAGTTATTTCTTAACTATTTTGAGTTCAAAAAAATATCATTACCATAAAAACAAAAAACATTTCAAGTCATCAATTAAATTTGATAGTAATAATAATAATAATAGAAGGTTACAACATGTATTGATTAGTTTTCTAGGGAAAATATATAACATTGGAGAAAAATAATCACTTAGTATTTTATACTAAAAAAATATTTATTTAAGTTGTAGTTATTATGTATAAGTTTCGATCACAAAAAAAAAAAGTGTTGTTAAAAAAAAAGAGTTAACAATCTTTTCCCCATATTTTAATTGCTTTCTCTACTAATAGTTTTATCATTATATAATTATTTTGTTTGAAAAATATTTTTATTCTTCAAAAGTAGTTATTTTGGTTCATTTTGTTGTTGTTGTTCTTGTACAAATAAATTATCATTTCAATTCAAACATGTTCAAACACGTTCAAACATAAGCTGTAATTTTTTTTATTTTTATTTTTTTGGAATATAATTTTGTTCTTCAAAAGAATAATTTTTAAAAGTATTTTTTACAAATTTGGTAGAAATCTTATTACCAATTCCAATTTTTCTACTTATTTGTTGAGTGATAAAATAGTTACGATGTTATTATATAATTAAATTGTTAATAAGAGTTGACACGACACTAACTATAGATCATTTGTATATAATAAAGTTTTTAATAATAAGATAAACTAAAAGATTTGATTTGTGTGTGAAAATAAAAATTGTAAAATAAACTAAAAGTGAATTTGAACAAAAATATTATAGATACACTAACATGTATTTTCTAATCATTTCCCATATTTATGACAAAATACAATATAATAAAAAAATTAAGAAATGTTTTAACTTAGCAAATATTTAAACACTCAACTCTTGAGTAATACAGATTTAATTAGAGATATCATATGATATATAATATAATTTGTAAAAAGATATACAATATAATTTTTAAACAATAATCAGTAACTTTAGATATTTAGTAACAAATATAATTTTTTTAAAAATATATATAGTATAATTTTTAAAAATTAAACTGTAACGTTAGATATTTAGTAACAAACATTTACATTGTTTATAAAAGTGATAAGACTATCAATAACAGTTTCAAAGTATAATAGAAATGCTATTTAAACTCTAAAACAAAATATACATGGTAAGTATTCAACAAAATAAAATATATAAACTAACAAAATATATCTAGTAATTTAGGGCATACGACATTTGCCAATAACTTAGACATATGTTGCATGTTTATAATATTTCCTAAACTCAAAAGATTTTGAGCAAATAAAATTAACCTAGAGAATAAAGGTTTGTACGCCAAAATATATAAACTAACAAAATATATCTAGTAATTTAGGACATACGACAATTTTTCCCAATAACTTAAGACATACTTTGCATGTTTATAATTTTGCCTAAACTCAAAAGATTTTGAATAAACCATATAAATACAACAAAATATAATTTGAAAGCACAAAAAAATATTGATCATATATCCTAGTGATTGCACATAATGTAAACATCTACTCAAATCAACTTTATGCTAAAGAGACATAATCAACTCAATATAAGAACTTGTAACTCAACAATGCCAATAGGGGACGAATCAATCTAAAGGTAAAAGAAACATAAGAAAACCTTAAACATATAAATCCAAGACAACCCACAAACCAACATTTCTGAAACATAGAAAGCTAAGAGCATGCTAGGATATGGATTTTCAAAAAAAAAAAAAAAATCAATCATTTTTTACCAATCACTTTTTTAAACTCAAATCTAACTCAATCTAACTCAACTCCACTATCCCCAGTATTATCAATATAATTAAATGATACCACCCAATCATTCTTACACATTACATCAACTTTAATTCACTATTCATCCACTCACATGATTTTAACTATTTCACATCAACTCTCTCCTACTTTTACATTAACTAACTTTAATTATTTTATTTTAAATATTATTTTAATATAAATTCAAAATCCCACTAACCACTAAGCATACTACCTTTTTCAAAATTAACCAAACAAAACCAAAAAATCCAATATAGGATGTGGTTCAAATGAGAACCAAGTCTTAATGTGAGAACCGTGAGAACCGCTATTTTTATTGGGGCGTAGTGCTATGATTGATTGTGTTTGATGCTATTTTTAACTAGGATAAATTTTATTAAAAATAGCAACACAATTTCTGGTAGCACTTGTAAAAAAAATGGCATCATCTAATATGAAAAATAGCATCATATACAATTAAAAAAAGCATAAAAAACGGTTCTCACGGTTCTCACACCAGGACTAGTTTTTATTTGACCCAGCCCCTATATATATATATATATATATATACATATATATATATCCAAGCATCCCCTAAAGAACTCGGCAATTATTATAAGGAAATTTGTTCTCATATTCAATCCTTGAGTATTCTATTTTGGAACTCTAACCGAATATCAAACTAAAGTACTCAACATTTATTACGAGGGAATTTTTTTCCAAACAGATAGGACACCTGTCAGAACACATTAACCATGCAGACAACATGCAGCTGTTATATATTGAAGCTCTAAAGTTTCTAGCATGAACTTACCCAACAGCTCGCCCCATAATATGGTGTCTATGCAACCAGAGCTGGCCGTGAGCATACAGAAGTCTGTCGTCCCCAAAATTATTATCTCCTGAGAAACAACAAAGTTGTAATGCCCCATCTAGCAATTTCACATATACGAAAACTGTTGATGTCATTTTCATGTCATTTTACAGAGCCCATGAATAATTGTTATTCTCTAGTTGAGTTTGAAACAACTATTATACTTTTCATATTGAAACTTGTCATTTTCAATTTTTTTTCCTCGTAACTTTTCCCATATCCAATTTTTCAAAACTGTTACTCCCAAGATTTTTATCAGCATTCTTTAGCAGGGAGAAAATTTTCATGATTCATGCTCCCATTTTCAAAATTCTACAACAGATACCGCCTGGAATAAAGATTAGAAATTGGAATAAAGTTAAAACTATGAAATATATATGGCAACACCGCTACTCCTACATCTAATCTTAGACTCCACAAATGTAACATCTTCAACTACATATTTAAGAATTCAACCATGGAGAAAATTTCGTTATTGACCACAAGTAGGGTCGGTACAATCTTAATTCCATTTTTTGCACTTATGGTCGCAAATTATTGTAAGTAATTCTGTAAGACGTAAAACTTATTTTTATCCTCCAGCCGTTAAAACTTTAGCAAACATTGCAATTGGGTTCCTATAAGTTCAAATATTGCAATTTTAGTCAGCTCGCAGTTTTGGTCCTAAAGGTAACTGATCCCAATACAAGGAATGATTGAATAAGACAATATGTAGTAAGCAATGGGCCAATGGCTAAAGAACAATAACGTAAAATACAGTGTTTACTTGGATAAGTTATTCTCTAGTATGGTGATTACTAGCCTTCATTTTTATATTTCACGTGGCTACGATATTTTAAGATGAAGGGTTGAAATATCAAGCCTTTCTGCATTCACATAAAATGACAAGGCAAGAGAGGCCCATAGTTATCTAGTCTAGATAACATGTTGATATTACATGTTATATAGTGTGCTGGATTGTAATCATGTGTACCAACGGTGTAATTTTATTCAATTCTTAACGATATACGATTAACGAGTGATAGGTTCAACGTAAAATAAAAAATTATATGAATATCAATGGAAGAAAATAAAGTTGATATGAAATTTCAGTTGGGGCAGGACAAACGGATGATTTTACTTTCTTCCTTTAAGCAGAGGACACTACGGTTTTAGCCTCGACCTTTTGGTGTCAGTCCCAATAGCGAAGATAGAAAATAAAACAGTGGGACCCAATATTGCAAAAAGAGCTAATAGGAACTCATAGCCATTCTGGTGGAACTATTTTTAAATCAGTGGAGAAAAACCTTGGTGTCCCTAATATCATGGGATTATGAGTGTAATTCCCTTTTCGAAAATGTACCTTTTGTCAGGACATCAACCTCCCCACTATCTTGGCGCTCATGAACCTAAAAGCATAGATACATTATTAGTTACTTCCCATATACAGGCAAAAGAAATAGTAAGTACATGAGGATGAGGAATTTGCCCACACTATCTAGCATTGATAACAAACCGACTCTAGAAGACAGTCACAACCAGTCTCACTTGTTAATTTGAACTTTTCACTAAGTGAGTCTAGACAATTTGATAATAGAAAACTGGACAAAGAGAAATATCAGAATTAGCAAAAATGCGTCTATAAACACTAGATAAGTATATAGTCCTTTCTAGTTTTAATGCTGATACTAATAACGGCTCTTGTTTCTTTCTTTCAAATTAATCCATGATATAATTCTACAACTAAGCAATTTCTATCTTTCAGAATATGCCCATCAGGTTGCTCACTTTCTAGTGCATTTGTTCCCCCCACCCCCACCCCCACAGTTTTCATCCTTTTCCCTTGAGAAACACTCAGTCTATCACATGTCTAGTTAAAATGGTAACACGAGCAGAATTGCAGAAAAAGGTCCAAGAAAAAAAGCAGCTCTTATACCTTAATAACTCGGTGGACAATAGGAATTTCACGTCCCTGTCAGCAACCAAAAGAAACAGAAGTTAAGCTTTCTGCAAAATAAAGCTTATTGACTTTGTACTTTGTAGATTCTCACAACTATTCACCAAACAGATAAATCGTTGGAGAATTTTGAAAAGATTTAGACAATGGTGAACATGACAAAATTACAAATTCATCAAATAAAAAGCAGTTAAAAGGTCACTATGTGACCTTGGACCTTTTTGAGAATTGAGACCTAGTTGATCTCAATTGAGGAAAAAAATAGTATAAAACTATTTGTTATCGATTAATGTCATCTCTAGCCTTTTTTCCACTAGTTATATATATAACATCCTGAGTAAAATGAGAGTTAAATATGATTATCAGTCGTGTAAGAGTGATTGACCAGTCTATTTTGGGAGATTAAAAGTGTAATCATAATAGTTCCTTTGATGTTCTTCCAAGAAACAATTACTGGGTCTGAATGGTGATTGAACAGGTCAAGATGAATAGCATATCTTGTAGAATTTCAATAGTTAACATACATTGAGACAAAAATCTCTTTAGTAATAATAAAGTGAATCTCGATAACCAAATGCAGACTTCAGTAGTGGATAAACGCCTTCATTCTTAGAAAGCACATTTTTACATCTCCAAGTAGGCAAAAGTAGATCTCAGACTAATATTGAAGATCGAAGAGCAACCAAATAAGAAACACAGGGACGTCCAAATGAGAGATTATACAGGAACACGTACATCAACATTGAAAACAACAATTTCTCCAGCGCGAATAGGGTCCTTACTCATGTGCAAGAACAAGATGTCACCCTGAGAGAAAATAATGGTGATATTAAGATCACAGATAATATATAAAGACATAACAGGCAGCAGGTTTACAGGAAAACCAGATGAGACCCACATGCAAATTATCATCCGATTTTCCTTTTTCACAACTTGCGCACCCACAACAATTCCAACCACATAAACATATCCTTATTACTATTCCAATAAAATGGTCTTACTTTCCTACTCATCAGTAAGCTATAGTATTTGATTCTCTTGCATCATTTAGAGTGTATTAGTCATTTTCTATAGTTAATTTTTGGCAAGGACACCAAAATGACACTTATTGAGACTGGAGGTAGTACATGGAGGGTTTTACCGAGGAAGCTCCAACACCACCTTGGCAAGGACACCAAAATGACACCTATTGACTGATTTTCTGTTTCTTTTATGCTATTTATTATTTTGCCCCTTTTGTTCGTTATTAAATTTTACATCAGTAATAGTTTACTGTATAAAGCTGTCAATAGCATAAGGACGCAGAGATATATTTGTAATAGCATAGGCCGTCAGCGAGCTATTCTTGCTGGGAAGAAACTTACTTTCCGCTGGAGAAGTTCCATGCTTCTTTTTCATCCCTATTATTATGTATTACCGATAAAATTTCCCGTTCATCATTTCTTGATTCTTATTCATAACACTAAACCTTCATGATTGATACAAGCCTTTTCTTGTTTAATAAATAATGATACAGTCAATTTATCAAAACCAAGCCTTAATACGGGCTATATTCTGTACCCCTAGAAACATGAAAAGAGGGTACTTTGAAGCCTTAACTTTTTAATACCAAGGGAGTTTCGCAGCATAATGAGTTTTAACAAGCTAAGGACAAATAATGACAAACAATATTTAAAAACTACTTAGCTGACCAGCGAATTTTAGCCAGCTATCTTAATTCCATCACACTAACTGAAAATTCGCAGTTCGATGTAGTCTACCACGTCATATCACACCTTAATGCGATCTGAGGACTCACCCTTTTGAAACCAGGCTCCATACTTCCAGAAAGCACAACAACTACAGGCGATTCACTGCCAGTGATACACATTAATCCTTTCCATATTATAAGTGCTGATGTAACAATCATACCTGGAAAAAAGATGAATGATGAAGCTATTATGATATGTTACAAAACTGTCCTGCTAAAAGGACCGACAAACAAATATTTTGGGACCCTGCTCAAGAAGTAAAGGTAAAAAAGAAAATATGCTACTCCCTATGTCCCACAAAGATAGCTTGCTTGCTCATTCAAAGTTTAGTAAAATAACTGTAATTATTGTCGAAAAGTAATAGGTGGTAACATTTTTCAATTATACGCTTTAAGATACCAAATGCAGTTACTAGCTTTTTATGTCTATTTGTTTAGAACCATACAATAAATTGGAACTTAATAATTCGACTACTCTTATGTAAAGAAACCAGTCTATCCCTTTGCAACGTATGAAAAAAAATTAAAAATAATAAACAATAACCATGTGGTCCATGTCTATCTTAGGCCTTCGGTTGACAGAGGGAATAATTTCATGGAGAAAGGGACAATGAACCAAAAGGGCACATAGGCCATGGAAAATCAAAGAAACTGCTGAGATACAGCGTAAACAAACATTTGGCACATGAAAGATATAAGCTGCAAACTAGAAACCACTTCGAATACAATTTAGATAAATCGTACAATTCCAGAGCGGTAGATGTAACTAAGATCCAGAACACCCAATACATAATATTCGTATTGTAGAACCAAATCAACACAGAATCACACACATCAACATAAGTGGGATGCTTTGCATAATTGACACCTCGGATTCTTCACAATATGAATTGCATTCAGGGCAGGTGCAAATTCAACTACAACAGCCAAGTAAACCGTGAACTTGTCCACACATAACAACAACAACAACAACAACAACAACAACAACAACAATAATAATAATAATCAATTTCTAGCGATTTTAACGTACTTCCAGTAATTCATCACCCTTATACATTTCTTATTAATTACCCAACCCAATGCACATTACTTCGTTCTTCATAAGATGAAACGCAGGCATAAGAACTAACAAAGAATAATCAAGTCATAAATCAAACTTTTCCAAATCAGAGGTTTAACAGAAATTAGAAATCTGCCCCCAAGTAGCAATAAATGTAAGGGGCCGCCTCCAAACCAATAGGGATAAAAATCAAAGTGAAAAGAGAAACAATAAGAACGAGGCAGAGAAGGTGGACAAAATTCAACCGACAATGGAAAGCATTCGCAACGGAAGAAAGGTAATTGTTCGTACTCACCGAGGTTGACGGCTTGAGTGAGAACTTGTCTGAAGTTCAGAGATTTGATGGAATCGATCTGCTCTCCAACCCACCCCATCTTGTCCTGCTTGAATCGGAACGCCGAAACGCGTTGTCAATGGCGCGAGGACGCGTACAAAAGGAACTCGAGCTGAGATTTTCTACGGTAGTTTTACCATTTGTAATAAATTGAGGGGAAAGTCCGGGAAGGGGAGGGAATTTTATAATTTTCCCTTGTTTGGTTCAATTTGTTGTGGGGGGGAGGGATTGATATTTTCTCTTCAAATCCCTCCTACAAAGGAAAATTTCTTCCACTCCAAAAGTGGGGGAATTTGGAGGTGAGGGAAAATTTATCTCATACAATTACTATATTATCTTTCATATGTAAATTATTTTATTATTTTGTTACTTACATCATTAAGGATATAATTGTCATTTTTATAATATTTTCTTTTCCCTCCCTTATTCTAACCAAACAAGGTTTACCATTTTTCCTCCACTCTCCTCCTATAAAATTCCACCAAACAAGGTAAAATTATTTTACATCACCTCCCCTCCCCTCCCCTTCCTTCCATTAAAATCCCTCCCCTCTCCTCCCCTCCCCTAAGTTGAACCAAACATAGCCTAAAAAGAAAATGCTACTCAGGCGAAGGGGATTTCACGGGCGCTTTATTTAAATGGGATAGTCAAGGGGTGTATTTATTTAAATAACCTTCTCAACAATGTTTTTGTTTAAATGACCCATCTGGTATATAAATAATTGAAATACCTATACTATCCTTATTATCTTCTTTTATAAAATATCAAAAAAAAAAAATCAGAAACTTACCTCATTACATGTGCACGCAAGAGATCTCTGCTTTCTCTTCAAGAAAAAAAAAATATCATTACACAAACTTTGAATTTTATATTGCAAAAAAAAAAGTGTGTTCATGGTGGAAGAACAACAAAACAAAGTATTATCTCCTTTATTTTAGAGAAAGATGAAAGAAATATATGTTGGTAGGATTTTTTTATTATTTTACTTTGATAAACATTTTCGTTCATATTTTATGATTGATAAGCATGCTGGTTTCATATTTATCAAATTTCTTGTGCCATTCATGTTTTTATTTTTTATTTTTTTAGATGATGTTTACATAACGAATGTACATTCGTTATGGTGAAAATCCTAATGAAAGTGCTCTCGTTTTGGTTTTTTTTATGGAATGACGTGTTAAACATTGTATCTTGGTCATATATCAACTTTGAACGATAGTTTGGACCCGTTAGAGCATGAAAATACTCATAACGTAACTCTTTTTGTGAGATAACTATACTTGTTTTTTTTTTTTTTGAAAAATGGATAGATAATGTAAAATCGTTGTACATTCCTTATTTTACATGTAAAAATGAGTAAAATTGTACCTACAACGAGTGTAATATCTTTATAATGGATTATATAACGATTTTAGGTGTTTTTTATCGAAAAAGAACCATAACGAATGTACATTCGTTATGGTGAAATTTCTAATGAAAGTGCTCTCGTTTTGGTTTTTTTTTATGGAATGACGTGTTAGACATTGTATCTTGGTCACATATCACCTTTGAACGATAGTTTGGACCCGTTAGGGCGTCGAAATACTAATAATGAAACTCTTTTTGTGAAATAACTATACTTGTTTTTTTTAAAAAAAAATGGATAGATCATGTAAAATCTTTGTACATTCCTCATTTTACATAAAAAATGAGTAAAATTGTACCTACAACAGAGTGTAATATCTTTATAATGGATTATATAACGAGTTTTAGGTGTTTTTGATCGAAAAAGAACCATAACGAATGTACATTCGTTAGTGAAATTCCTAATGAAAGTTCTCTCGTTTTGATTTTTTTGATGGAATGACGTGCTAAACATTGTTTCTTGGTCATATATCACCTTTGAACTATAGTTTGGACCTGTTAGAGCGTCGAAATACTCATAACGAAACTCTTTTTGTGAAATAACTATACCTGATCATGTAAAATCTTTGTACATTCCTTATTTTACATGAAAAATGAGTAAAATTGTACCTACCACGAGTGTAATATCTTTATAATGGATTATATAACGAGTTTTAGGTGCTTTTGATCGAAAAAGAACCATAACGAATGTACATTACATTCGTGCATAACGAACATTCGTGTAGTGAAATTCCTAACGAAAGTGCTCTCGTTTTGGTTTTTTTTATGGAATGACGTGTTAAACATTGTATCTTGGTCATATATCACATTTGAACGATAGTTTGGACCCGTTAGAGCGTGGAAATACTCATAACGAAACTCTTTTTGTGAAATAACTATACTTATTTTTTTATTTTTTTTTGAAAAATGGATAGATCATGTAAAATCTTTGTACATTCCTTATTTTACATGAAAAATGAGTAAAATCTATATCTATATAAAAAGGTTTGATTATTTTTTAAATAGTAACTATTTCCGTCCAAAAAAATGTTGTTTACTAAATTTGGAAATTATTTAAACATTTATGGTATGTTTTAAAGGTCCAATTTAGGTAATTGTGGCTTATTTATTAAGGTAATATTAATCACATAAAAAATTCTTTTTTAAAAAAATTATGGTATAAAATGGACGAAATATTTTTGGTATAAAATTTTATTGAGATATTCAATTTTTGGTATGATAAATCATCACAATGTATTTGGAGGTGTTTCCCAGCATAAAATAATTTACCAGTTAATAACATTTTATCTTAAAAAGTAAAATATAAATTAAGTATAATAAAAAATCATGATTGCCTTTTACTTTAAACGAACACACTATTTATCAAAATTGTACGCCTTTGAATTTTTATGCATATTTAGACTAAAACTAAAAAAAATATAATGAGAAAATTTATTATTTTCCTCCCAATTTTTGTTATTTTTGTTAATATGCCGCAAATATTTTTAAAAGTTGATATGTGAATTTGACAGAATACCTTCTCTAATTTATTTGTGCCAAAAACCGTAAACGTAACTAGGACATGCACGTTTTAAGGTATTATTTGTTCTTACAGTTTTTATTTATGTTGCGTTGCCATACTGAAACATCCTACTTTAACAAACATGTTTTTTAAATTCATTATGACGATATATTAAACATCTGAGTGTGAATTACATATGAAATTGGTATGAAATATGACACAAATTGTGTGTTTTTTCATTGTTTAACAATGACTATGACAGTGAATTACAAATGAAATTGGTATGAAATATGACACAAATTGTGTTTTGCCATTGTTTAACAATGACTACAAATTTGTGCTTGTTTCAATTGTTTATTAATGTCTACAATACGTCAAAAGAACTTTAAAATCTGATGACTTCACAATCAATATGTAAGGGTACAATAACACTTAGATTGATACTCACATCAATTGCCCTGCCCAAATGCTGAACAATACAAACTCCAAGCATTTTTTTCATATATTATACCAGACTTCAGTACTCAGTAGTAATTGAACAATACATACTCGGGTCATCATGCATAGTACAAAGCAAATGTGCCACATTGCAATCAATACATAACTACAAGCACCCATTCTTTGATCTGAAGTCCTTCTTAAGAAGCTACTCCTTTAGTCAACTGCAAAGAACTCTCCGGGAGTGGAATTCTGAGCACAAGAAATTTCAAGCCATCAGTATCTAAATGAACGAGCATGTACCTGCAACCTATTCCAAGAGATTCCCAGTAGTTTCCAACGCAGTTTAGCCCTTCTGCCGTTGAAGAATCTTTGTACGAATATTCTTTGTACTCTGGTTCTTCTTCACAGGCTTTACTCAACCAAGATTATATGAAACCGGGTAAAGCACATTAAGGAATAAATACAACACAGTCATCATCTTCATACATACATTTCGTCGAGAATGTAAACTGCTTGCTAAGTATAGCACAAATAACACTTCAATAACCCGCATCCTCACATCAAAATCATCAAATTAAATTGCAGATCCAGGACAAAATCGAAAAATATCAAACATCGAAAATATATATGAATATTAATTAACACATACCTGAATAGCTAAATTTGAAAACGAATTTCCAAACACAAATGAACAATTGACAGAATGTGGTTTCACTTCCGTTTATCGTGCCTGCGATTGGGATTCAAAATATTTCGATTTAACGGTTTGAAACCACCGCGAAAAAGAAGAGATCGATTGCCATGAATTCATGAACTTGAACCCGGCTTCGAACATGATGAGTTGATATGACTGTTGTTGGTGGTGGCGCTTAGGCGCCCTTCACCAATCACGTTATTCTAGTAAAGGGATGGGGATCTATTTGCTTATACATCCTATGAATCTTCCAATTGGAATGTAAGGGGAGCAGCACGAGACTTTTGGTCGAGCTTCCTCCGACCGACAAAACTAATTTGATTGCAAAATGTTCGATCGTTCGAAAATTTGAATCATGGAGTGGACATTTGATAATACGATGAATGTATGAAGATGAATTCAGATGATGATGGAATACAACAAAATGTAATTTCAAAATAAGAAGAGGTTTATTTGAAATATATTAAATGTGTTTAGGTATAATAAAAATATAGAAATAATGAAACACCTTTTAAGTAAATATATTTATAACAACAACAACAATAACAACATAGCCTTTTAGTCCCAAGCAAGTTGGGGTAGGCTAGAGATGAAACCCAAGAGAACCAATGGTAAGAGAAACACAAAAAGGGCTCAAAACCAAAGGAAGAAGGAGCAAAAGAGAAAGGAGCAAAAGTCACAGTTCTGGCACGTTGATTGCTAGCCTTTAAGCACTCCTATCCACCGCTCAATCCTTGGAGATATTCCAATATTTAAGGTCTCTCTTAACTGACTCTTCCCAAGTGAGTTTAGATCGACCTCTACCTCTCTTTACATCATCGACCCGCTGTATAACTTCCCTATGCACCGGTGCATCAGGAGGCCTCCGTTGGACATGTCCAAACCACCTCAGCCGATGTTGAACCAATTTCTCCTCAATTGGAGCCACCCCGACCCTATCTCGAATATCCTCACTCCGGATTCTATCCCTTTTTGTGTGCCCGCAGAACCAACGCAACATACGCATCTCTGCTACGCTTAGTTGTTAGACATGTTGCCTTTTTGTAGGCCAACATTCAGCACCGTAGAACTTACCTTTAAGCCTTTGTGGCACCCTCTTATCATAGAGAAAGCCCGAAGCTTGATGCCATTTTAACCAACTGGCTGCAATTTTATGCCTAACATCAACATCAATGCCGTCATCCTTTTGTAGCATCGATCCTAAATACCGGAAAGTCTCCTTCTTGGCCATCACTTGCCCGTCACGGCTAACGTCACCATCATCATGTGTAGCCATGCTGAAAGCGCACGTCATGTACTCGGTCTTCGTCCTACTAAGTCTGAAGCCTTTTGACTCTAACGTGTCCTTCCACAGCTCTAACTTCCTATTTACCCCTGCCCTACTCTCGT